ATAGGTAAGAAGCTGTCAAAGGTTTATCAGTTGCAATTAAAAACACTTTTTGACCTTACAATTTAAGCTGAATTTTAAGCTTACCTCCTGAAATCTCTCTTTAGCAGTGTTATTCATTTTGTTGACTTCAAACACTAACTAGCAACCTTTTTAGAAATACGTTACTATGACACAAGCTTGGCTCAAAGTAACCCAAGCCCCATTGTAAATGACTTTCTTATCAGCCAATGCTGCCAAGGAGCTGCTGGTTCCCTACTTCCCCCCAGTCATTGAAAGCCTGAAGGGGTTCCTGACCACCACCTCTGAGGAAATGAGGTCTCTGCAGACTCAGTCTTTGGGTAGGTCAACCACAGAGACTTTACACCACACTCGACAGCATCATGGATGGAGGTTAATCATCTGTTTATGTTGCTGTTAGATACTCTCTCTGTGCTGGCCCGTGCCATCGGCAAAGATGTCTTCAGTCCTCTCGCTGCAGAGTGTGTCCGTCTGGGCCTCAACCTCACAGACACTATTGATGACCCTGACCTGAGACGCTGCACGTATGTAGCTTAGTGTCTGAACATGCTTTTTTTTACCACAGGATTCCCAGTTTCTAACATAATCTGAACAGATGTATTTGAAGACAAAAAAAGTGTTTATAATATCTTATATCCTGTAGTATTTACTCAACCTCTCTCTTTGCTTCCCTCCCTCAGGTACAGTCTGTACTCGGCTGTATCCACAGTCAGCCCCGACTGCCTCACTCCTCACCTCCCTGCCATCACTACCATCATGCTGCTCGCTCTCAAGTCCAATGAAGGCATCACGGTACTTAGCACACAGCCAGCACTCTGAGACCCACGGGCCTTTCATCAAATACACTATATTTAATACAGCATTTCACTTTGTATCCTCTCCTATTCTCTCTTCAGGCACACATCGAGGAGGACAAGACCTTTGTCCTGCTGGATGATGACGATGATGACGACGATGTGGAAGTCAAAGATTCAGTTGAGTTTCTGGAAGATGAGCCGGACACAGATCTCCATGATGTTGCAGGGTAGGAGTCACACACATACACACAAGTACAAATGCATTTACATTTAATACCCTTAAAGAGCAACTTGCAGGTTAGAGACCCCAGTGAATGAATGTGTAGTAAAATGATGTATACACTAGATTAAAAAAAATATATACATAAATATACACTACAGTGACATCTGGCGTCGTTTTTTGTAAGACATTTTTACTTCCGCATAAAAAAAAGACCACCCGCGTGTGACGTCACATCAGGGAGAGCGGCCGGTCTAACGTATTAATAAACATCACAATGCTAGTTTTGACACAGAAGAGGTTAAAAATGTATATTCGTATGCATATGACGGACCACAACCTTATAATTATGAGCCAGGAGCAGCCAAGGATTAGAATAAATAACGGCCATCGGAGAGAAATGGAGCTGTGTTGTGAGGAGAACCAGTGGAGAACAGGGCAGCTGTCTTGGTGAGTGACCGGCATTAGCTACAGTTAATGTTAGCTAACGTCGGTCACATCACAACATTATAAAGTTAGCTATCATATATCAGGCTATAACTAAAGTGGTATTGATAATATAGTAAAGTTACTGGCAGGACTGTTGATACTGATCCATAACCGAAACTAATGCGCAAGTGTCAGCCGTATCTCGCGTTACCTAATGCAATTCCACACTACGTCTACGGTGCTGTGTACCGGAGAGGAGAGAGAGAGGAGCGAAGGGGAGAGAGAGAGAGGAGCAAAGGGGAGAGAGAGAGAAGAGCAAAGGGGAGAGAGAGGAGCGAAGGGGGGGAGAGAGAGAGGAACGAATAGGGGAGAGAGAGAGAGAGCAGCAAAGGGGGGGAGAGAGATGTAATACGGTTTCCTGATAAACGTTTTGTTTGATAGGCCTCAGCTGTGGAGAGTATGTGCTGCAGGGAGGTAGATGCACCCAGGAACGAAAGCTAGCTCCGGCCCTTTTCCTGGGGGGGGGAAACTGGACTCGATGTCCTAACAGGCTGGAGTTTGTGCAACCTGCACAAACTCATGATTACAATTTTTGAAATGCAATGTGAAATTACTGAAAAAATACCAGCTCACTAAATCACAACCGCTCAAACCAACTAGCAACTACTACCGTGAATCGGGCAGAGAAGGAGTCCGAGAAAGTTGCTCCCCCGTGTGACGTGATATGACGCTAAAAAAACTTTTTTAATTGTAGTTTTCAGGCAAGGTTAGGCATAAATGTAGAAGAAAAAAAACCCTGCAAGTTGCTCCTTAAGCAAAATCTGTTCTCACTACGTCTGATACAATGTCTCCATCTCTCAGGTTTAGTGTGGAGAACGCATACATCGATGAGAAAGAGGATGCCTGCGATGCGCTGGGAGAGATTGCCTTCAGCATTGGGTAACAGATATTTACAAAAAAGCTTTTTGTAATAAAATCTCAGACATTTCTTGTGGCATGCTTTACCTTGCGTTGCTATGGTTTCCCCTGACAGTGCTGCCTTCCAGCCCTTCTTGGAGTCCAGCTTCCAGCAGGTTTACGAGATGAGAGATGTAAGTCCCTCTGGCTGCTCAGACCCATTATCCTCCTCCTCGGTCTAAAGTCATGTGAAGCTCCCTTTGTGCATGCATACTTCAACTTGACCTTCCATGCTGTTGACTTGATGCTTTTATCTGTATCCTCCCTCCCTAGTTTCCCCATGAGGACGTCCGCAGGGCAGCATTTGGAGCTATGGGCCAGTTCTGCAGAGCTCAGCATCTAGTGTGGAAGGAGATTCCCACTGAAGCCAACCACCAGGGTAAAGCCTCTCTTCTCACCAACTCCACACTACTGTCATTTCTTCAGGAAATACATAAATGGGCAGTGCTGCTTTCTGCTTAAAACACAAGTGTTCTCTAAGCATTTCTACTAGCTTCAACTCCTTTTGAACTTGCTTCCTCCCTCCTGTACATGTCGTCTCCCTCCACCAGCCTTACTGAAGTTGCTGGATGTGGTGCTTCCCTGCTTTGTGGAAAGCGTTCGAACAGAGCACGAGCGCCAGGTAGTGATGGGCATCCTGGAAACAATGAACAACGTCATGAAGTCCTGCAAGGAGGAGGCTTTCAAGAACCCTGCACGCCTAAAGGAGATCAGCCATGTCATCCGTGACGTGCTCAAGAAGAAGGTGAGAACACTGACAATCATCCCACGACGGCTTTATTTACTTTTCACTCAAATCATTTCACATTCATTATATTTGACTGTTGGGAGTTATTCTTCTAACCCTCCACTATGGATGTGTTTCTGCTCAGACGGTTTGTCAGGACGGTGGTGGGGATGAAGCTGATGATGAAGAACAACAGGTTGGTTTTCCTCTGGTTGCATATTAAGTGAGATCTACTCCTAAGTTACAGCCGTTTCCTTTCTATAAAGGATGTGTTAATACTAATGAATATTAATCAGCATTGTTGTGGACATATTGATTTGTTAGTTTTAAAATGAATGGATAAAACGTGGGACTGATAATTCAAGAATTTCAATTTCTTCTGCAGCTATGCCATCAAACCGCTTCAGTCAAAATAAATAGCATCCATCGTACTCTCTGTGTGTGAGCTGCTTCACTGCCCAGTGACTCATTGTGCTTCCTGGTTCAGGCGGAGTACGATGCCATGCTCCAGGAGTTTGCTGGGGAGGGGATTCCTCTGGTGGCGTCGTCCGTGCCTGCAGACAAATTCTCCCCTTTCCTCAACGACCTGCTGCCTCTGCTCATGAACAAAACTGTGAGTGTGGACCGACTGACAAAGAACCTCAGTTTAACATATCCTTTACTCGATCACATTTATTATCCTAGTCCTATTTCATTATGATGCTAGAACTCCTGACAGTGCAGCTACTTGCTTTTTATATTTGTTAGTCACTAGTAAATGACAATCACAATATTATAATGTTTCAAAGCGTTGATGATTTTAATCAACGGTGCATTTAATGCCTTTGATGTTTCCTTTTTGGCCAGTATCACACTAATGATTGTGTTCCTCCCTCAAAAGAAATCCTCTTGCACGGTGGCAGACCGCTCCTTCTCTGTGGGAACAATCGGAGAAATCCTGCAAGCCTTTGTGACCGCACCTGGGGGCGCGGGAGTGGCGGGCCGGCTGTCCAATCGCTTGCTCCCCGTGCTGGTAGCTGGGGCGAGGGACAGTGATGCCGAGGTCCGCAACAACAGCGTTTTTGGGCTGGGGTGTCTGGCCCAGGCTGCCGGACCCATCTGTGTCACGTATCCTTCTGCGCGTTGATGTGTCCAATACATATGAATTACATAAAGCATCACATGCAGCTGTTCCTTAATGAAGCGTTCTCCAGAGACTATCCCATGATGCTGTCTGTCTTCTCCAGCATGCTGACCAAAGAGTCAGACCTCAGGGTGATTGACAATCTGTGTGGAGCGCTCTGCAGGATGATCCACAGCAACGTGGACGCTGTCCCTCTCGAGCAGGTGCTGATTGTATATCATACATGCTGACACACATTCACAAACTGGTGATCTACCGGTAACCTGAATAATCTTTGTGCTCGCTAACAGGTTGTGCCCGCTCTGGTGGGTCGTCTTCCCCTCAAAGAGGACATGGATGAGAACAAGACCGTGTACAGCTGCCTGGCCATGCTCTACACACACAGCCCTGCTCTGGTACTGCACACACACACACACACACACACACACACACACACACACACACACACACACACACACACACATGTTACACCTGGTGTTATAGTCTGTGTGTAGAGGATTGTGTTGACATTCAGTCTCCATCGGCATACAACACACTCGGTAACTCATTCAGACACATTCTACAGTTTGTCTTCAAGACTTTTAGATGCCCGCCTCGTGCCTATATCAAGACACAGAGAAATTGGTAGCATACAAAAGCAGAAATGTATAATAATTATACATGATTGGAGCAGCTGTTGAAATGTTTCCCATGATCCCAACAAATATATTGACAAATCTCAGGCCAATCTTTTAAACATCTTTATTACATTTTGTTATGTTTTATAAAGTAGTTCAACAACACTTTGTGCATACAGGACATGTTAACTCTCTAGCTCACGCAGACTTTAGACATAGTCATTTAAAGACAACAGTCTCTCCCAATCTGTTCCAACGAGCTTCAATGATACATGGTGATGAATCTTTTCAGACATTGTGTGATGGACTTGGACCCTGATGTTGAACATTGTGACAACAATTTTTTAATCTGTTTTTCCCTTTCAGGTTTTGGGGCTAATGAAGCCCATCGTGGCCGCTTCCAGTCAGGTCCTCGGCAACGGCAAAGTGGATCAAGGTGAATTTAGACATTGTCCCTCATTAAGCTTCCTCAGTCACCACAGATTAATATTGCTGTGTTTTTGAGTCATCCCGTAACTCTTATTGTGTCTCTCCCCCTCAGAAACCCAGAGCACGTTGGCGCTGCTGATGAGAGACTTTGCTCAGCAGCACTCTGCAGCCTTCCAAGCAGCTGTGAGCTCACTTCCTGGAGAGCAGCAGGCAGCACTCAGCGCAGCCCTCTCGTAGCGCACTCACGTCCTTCCACTCGGGTCAAAAGCCAGCAAAAAAAAGACGTGGGGACAGTTTGTGACTTCTCCCAAAAATAATCTAAATATAGCACTTCAACCATTGTTGTTATCATTTCATTTGACATTTACACCTAGGAGGATTCACTTTTAATGTATTTGCTCAAACGCATGATATGTTTAAGTTTTATTATTTTAAGAGTTACCCTCCCGTGTTGTTCCCATTGTATTCTGTTTCCCTGTTGTTACTGTAAAGTGCTTCTACTATAGTCGACCTTTCTGACACGGTTTGGACTTCTGGCTTCTGCTGTCTGAGTGTGAAGCATTGATCTGCTGATAAATGTCATTATTTGTTCCAATCTCCCAGTGTAATTCAATTCACTTTAAACTCTTGATGCTTATTCTTTCTCCTAGGGTTGCCTTACTTACAGATATATCAACTGATGGGGAATTCTGGCAGAAACACAGTGGTTAAAACAACTTCAAATACTTTATAGTTCACACTATATAAACACTACTTTATCCGTATAATAGCTCATCCTATGACTGTTTGCAGCCGCCTCTATTGGTGCTATTTCTAGTCAGCCTGTTCAAACTATTTAACAGTATACTACAACATATATTTGACAAGTGCAAGATATTTTTTACAAATGCTACAAAGATTTAACATGATGCTACAATGCATGCCGTGCAGTTAATCGCCTTGCTCTAAAAACAACACTTGTTGAGTCCTATAATAAATGCAAACTTGCATCTTAGGCTAAAAGCGCAGTTAACAAAGTGATTTCTCGTGGAGTAGTTGCCGGTATATTGACATTAATTTGCTCTCTGGTTGGATGATGGCGACTCATCGTTCCTCAGATCTCCCGTTGCTCCTCAGTCATTTCAGGCTGCTGGTTTTCCCTGTCCAATGCCAAAGCCATCTGCACCGGGGTCAGCCCGTTCTCCCCTGACAGACAGAGAGGTCTTATTTTAAATGCATGTGCCACCTGAACCACATAGATATATCCGTATGTGCTAATAGTGGTAAATGCCACACATTCGTAGCGAGTGGAACCAGCCCTATGAAGCGTTTCACACAACTCAACTGAGAGGACACGTCGGGTCTATGATTATTAATATTATGAGTGTCTAAATCTGCCTGTTTTAACACAGTTGTTGACATCAGGCATCTTTGCAGTTCCTCATACACGAATGAACATCTACGATTGGACAGTTGAACAGATTTGTAAGCGAGATAAAGGCCAAGTTGATCATTAAAGTAATTATTCATTTTAAAATGGCTTAGCTTTAGAAATGTCCGGCTTTTCTGTTGTGAATCATAATTAACTGACATTTTTGGGATTTGAGACATTTAAATTAATTTCTGTATAATCTGATTAATTGAGAAAATAATTGGCAGATAAACCGATAATGTAAATAGTCTTTAGTAACAACTTTAACAAATTCCCGATGGAGGGTCCACGGCTTTCTCTGGACTCTGATGTATGATCTCATTGCAATGCCTCAATCTTTAGCAATGTGCTGTAATCTCAATCACTGACAGTTCCCCTCTCTGTAGGGCCGCTGCAGCCTGAGGCCGGCTCAGGGACTTGTGGGGCAGGGTTGTGCACAAACAGAAAATAACTTGGATAAACTGAGCTAACACAGATAATGACAATCCATAAACCCTGAGAGCTGGAACGGCAACCTAAGATACCGTATTGAATGAAGTGCTTACAGACCTGTGCCTCCGCTTTTCCAAGGCAGGATATTCATCCCTGTGCGACAGAAGGAGCGGTCAGTGTGGGCCTCGGTGCTGTACAGCACCTCCTGCATCTGTTTCTCTCCGGGCTTCTGGGCTTTCACTCTCACCTAGAAGAGCAAACAAATCATTTTGTAATCCAGATACACATTTGTTTTTTTCCATTCATATCTGGACAAAAAGTCATACCTCGAGGATGGTGACCTCTTTCTCCTTCAGCTTCCCTGCTTTGTTCTTAACCTGGGTCTTCTTGGTGTCCACCCAGACCACCCTCTCCTTCACCTCTGACCTGCACGCAGACACACATGTTAACACATGTACATGAAATATCTTTTTAAGACCTCTCACATGAAGCAAACTCACTCTTCGATGCCCAGGTCGGCCAGTGTGGTGTCCAGGAAGGGGAACGGCTGGTGTGCCGGGTCGGGCTGCACCTCTATGGGCAGATCCACAGACATGGGGAGGTCCCACTCCAGCTCCACCCGCACCATGGTTCCCCGTGGGGTCTCCCTGCCCACTGGTTCTCCATTGGCCTGCTCCACATCGGCCTCTTCCTCCTCCAGCAAGGTTTGTGTCTCGTCTGCTGCCAGCTTGACTTTGTGATCTCAAACAAAAATGAAGTTTTCCTCTCCCTCTCTGTGACAGATGCTGTTTCTGTTCTGCTGCAGGAACAGGCTGCCGCTGGTGATTCAGAGCTCAGCCTCTTGTGATGATGGAGGAAAGTGTGAGTCTGATGCGTACAGACTTGTGCCCTCTGATTTAAGCAGCCGGTGTGAATGTGTGTTATGTGCCACTCAGATGTTAGGTTTATTATACTGTCAGGGTGGTGATGGACGGGCGGTCTTTGCACTGCCAGGTGTCGTTGTTCATCAGTCTGGGTGAAGTCAGTGGCCTTAAGCACTTTTATCGTATCACTATTATTGTGATGAAACAACTGAAAACATAATGCTTTTTAAACTACACTTCATATTTGTTTTTAAATGGGCTTTATAACAATATTCCAGAGGTGACATCAAGTTTATTTATGTGTTATGAGGTGATTCTCTCCACCATACATCTACACCTCCACTCATCATTCACAGCACAGCGTCACATTTTCAGCTTTTGAAAAATGTGTTCTTGTTCTTACTTTACAGGGGGACACAAACATGGGAACGTGTGGATCCATGCATGTGTGGCCTAGCATTACTATACTTGTGGGGACCTAAATCTGTTTACAGTCACGTGTGGGGACTCGCCACCCTTATGGGGACATTCATTTTAGGGTGAAGACTTGGTTAGGATTAGGGTTAGGTTTAGGCATGTGTTGGTTATGGTTAAGGTTAGGATAAGTCTCCAGGAAATGCATGTAAGTCAATGTAATGTCCCCTGAAGTGATGTATACATGGTATGTGTGTGTGTGTGTGTGTGTATGTGTGGTGCTGTGCTGTAGTAAGTAAGCCATCTTTTTACCACTAAACTAGTACTCTGGGCCCAGCATGCCACATTCCAGGGACAGAGGACTCGATAAATCCTCTTCACGTCAGCACTGCGGACGGATACCGATGATGTAAAGGCTGGGGAATGTATAGAGCCAAAGGCAGAACTAAGCATCAGGGTATGGTAGCTGATTAAAGCAGTGTATTTCCACTAATAATGTACTTTGTTAGCACTTGATTATGTAAAGGGTCCCCATTTTGTATTCCCCTTAGCACCCTCCATATATTCTGACCACAATCCAGGCCAAATGCTAATGTTTTTTGAGCTCAACCGGATATTTTAAAGATAAAATGACAGGTTGAATCATTTCCAACAATAACACATTTTTCGACAAGGTATTTGTACCACCTTTTTTGTTCCATGCGAATAACATGATATTTTGGCCTCAGTAGTGACCCTGCTTTCCCAGCAGTGTAAACAAACACTCACATTTTGTCCTTCAGTGCCACTGATTAATTAATAGTGGAGGAGGTGGCCATGACTAACCGGCAAGCTGTTTCAAAGCAAGGCATTTAGCCCTTAACCATGTGGCTTTGTTGTTCACTTGATCACAATTAGGCGTTCCTTCAGTCAAAACCTTAAGTAGGGTATATGCAGGTATCCTGAAGTCAAATGTAATACCTTTTAAGACCTTTTTTAAGACCCTTTCCATGCATTTTAAGACCTCATCGCCACTTTGAGTTTTAACCGTTTACATTGGCGACACTTTACCTCACATTTACTACTACACAGAATCACACTACACACCTACTACACAATGCTTACATTCAGGCAAACCGTAGAATACAACCTCTTTGGACACTTTATATACTTATTGAAAACAAGCTACAAAATGTAATACCTTGGAAAATACCGTTTAATAGGCTACTTCTTAATAGCCTTAATTTTCGCTAAATTGATTTATCAACTTGTAATACTTTTTAAGACCCCGCGGACACCCTGCTTAAGGGACAGTGTATTTCCTGGCAGAGCAACCAGAATGTATCACAAGTAGTATCAACACAATCCCCATTCTGCTGTGTTGATGTGAGTGAGGGTTTCTGCGGCACTGACCTCAGCTCAGTCGCAGCGAGGTGCCACATGGATCCGCTCTACATGCAGTGCATTTAACAGGCAAACACTTTAATTGTGTGGAGTTATTGGAGCATGAGGTCAGGCAGGAGTTTTCTGCCAGAGCGGCACAATATGCTGCTGTTGGAGGGGGGCAGTGCTGATGTACTTACAAGTCACAATTCACTGGTTTCTGTATGTGTTTCTGCACCATAAGCTTAAATACGAGTGATGCTTTTCATTCCAGTACAAGCTAGATTCATGCCATTATTCTGGGATTTATCTCAGAAGATCAATATCTGTAAAAAAGAAACACGCTCATTTTTATCCAATTAGGGCGTAACCTGATTAAAAAATGTTTCCAGTTATCCTACTGTTAATGTAAGATGACAACATCATATGGAACATGAAAGAATGAAGTAATTTTCTTAAAAAACTGCAAAGTTTATTAGGCCTGAATGTGGAAAAACAATTCAACATCTTAAAAAATATTTGTTATTAAGTTAATTATTAAATATCATTCACAGAGCAAATACAAAATGCATAAAAGCTTAATTTAAAATCATTAAAAAAGTTAAAAATCCATTCAGAATTTACAAACTGTATAACATGTTCAGATGTTAAACACTTTAACAACAATAGATACAATTAATTTAGTAACACTAATACATTCAGTTGGTATAAATATCTTTAAATACAACTATATGAACAATAAAAACCAGATTAAAATGGTTAAAAATATCTTTTCACCAGTGAAAAGCAAATAATGCAGTTCAATGTTTCACCCTTATGAGTATTTTAACAATTAATATAAAAACATTTAACTTGTGTGATGTGTAAAATGAACACTATCATGAGTGGCTCTGATAATCTCATGTGTTACCGAAAGCCAAAGGTTCTCATTCATGCATTACATCCATCAATATAAAAAACTGTTCCTCAGCAGGTCGAGTAACAACTGTGTGTGAGTGTGTGTGTGAGAGTGTGTGTGTGTGTGTGTTCAGGCTGCAGGGCTTATGGTGATGCCACTGTAGGGCTCAGTCTGTTGTATGGTCACATGTCCAGCAGACAGCAGCTCTGAAGAACAGGAACATCACAGAATCATCAACATTTTCGTCCAGCCATCTTAAAATTGCATATTTAACTGTCAATCACTGTTTGTATGAAATTCATTATTAGGTCATCGATGCTTGTCAATATCTTAATTGTCATTAAACGTGCGTGCTCACCCAGCAGTTTGTAGAGTGTGTGAGCTGCAGTGGCGCGGTCGGCCTCTCGGGACACCAGAGAGTCAAAAGTAACTTCTCCAAATCTTTGCAGTCTGGAGGAGATCCAGCTGGGAAACACAAGCAAGGTGAGCAGTGCATCATGGGATCCAACCTCGAGGACTTGTATGGACACATTACGGGTTATACCCAATGAACTACATAGGTAACAGTTACACATCTAATGTAAAAATCTGTATGAGACTTGTAAGTTACTTTATTGTGTATACAGGCTTTATTACTGCTATGGAATTACACTTTTAGACATCACAGACAACCCTACTTTTATACAACAAATACTGATCGCACAAACTCCTTCAAATCTAATCTCTGAGTGGCCTCTGCGTGATATTTACTCAAAGTCTATGGACGTTTTAATGTGTAACCCTGTGCGGAGTTTAATATGCAAGTGTAGTGTTGCGCAGGTTCGTCCCTCGGGCTTGTTGCTCGTCTAATTTGAATTTCAAAGCAAATGTCCAACAAAGTAGGAAGTGGTCCACCTGTGATGCTGGGGGCAAGTGTTTGTCCGAAAATAAGCAACGTCACGAGGGAAGACGCAAATAGCTTTTTATATATGTATGAGCTGGTTTACCCTCCACAGCCACAGTCTACCTTTATTCAAATGAGCACTCACAAAACATTCATCACCTCAGGATGACGCTGACAACAATGCTGGAGTCAGGTTGAGGTTACTTTATTTGCACCCGTAGGTAGATTAAAAGCTTCTAGATGTCAACTCAAGCACCGGTGCAATTAAGTGGAACTGCAGTTTTTCAGCATGAATACAGAGAGGAAAAAGTAACTCAGGAGTCAGGATGGAAAACAATCTCAAAGGAAAGTCACACAGACAGAATACCAACCACCAATCAGGGCTTCGCTAACATTGAAAATTATATATTTCTTCTATTTTTCATTCAACAACATCTTGGCTTCAGGAAAACCTCAAAGCTGAAAGGCTTTTGCTAAATTCTTGAGTGTGTGTGTGTGTGTTGTAAGGAGTACCTCAGCATGTCCCTGCTCTCTGTGCTAGTCTGAGCCTCGGGCATCTCGATGTTCTCCTCTGCTATTGGCTCCATTTGTGGCTGGGACTCCATATGTGGAGACCTAAACACACACACACACACACACACACACACACACACACACACACACACACACACACACACACACACACACACACACACACACACACACACTCACAGTGATCTCTTTCTATATCCATGGAGCTGTGCATCTGTCTATACCCCTGAGACTCACCATCTGCTGACGGGAGTGATCACATCGGTGATGGATCTGTCGTCCCGTGACATGTCTATCAACGTATCTAATGCAGCTGTAGACACACAAACATATAGAAACACAAAGTCATGTGACCGTAATGTAGTTCCTTTATAACATAAAGCTCTTGGGAGTGCATTTACGCTTCAAAAAGCAGGACAGTGTGTGTGTGTGTTTGCCACCGAGCTATTTCCCGCAATATTCTAAAATAATGAAAACTGCTTTCTGCGTGGGGAGCCCTTGCGACGCTACCTTCCAGGTCGGCTTCCAAAAAAGACGTCATCACTGCACCAGTCTTTTGTGCTGCCAAAACATGATTTAAAATACCGACATATTGTGTGAGAGGGGGAGAGAGGAGGGAGAGAGGAGGGATGCTTACATGAGCCGTCGGCGGGTTGCAGTCCTGACTCACTGGATATCTGAGAGAGGGTCAGAGCTTCATGAAAGAGAATATTGTAATTTGTCTCACCACTGAGCTGAACACTCAGCCTGTGACCGCAGGCTAGCTGGCTAACCTTTATTATTACAGACACATCTTCACAAATACCCTCAGATTTTAGCATGGCACTAAAGCTTAATAAGAAATGCCATATTTTATTTTCACAGGTAAAACTTCAGGACATTATAGAGTAGCAGGAGCTGTAAAACAAGACTGCTCTAAACATACCACCTTCACACACCTCTCTCATGCTCGATTGCCTCCTCTTCCTCTCTGCCCTCAGTATTTCTCTGTCCTGCTCTGACCCCCCTCTCGCCCTCTCCTCCTCCTCCTCCTCTCCTCCCCCGAGTCCAGGCAGGGAGGTGAGCAAGGCACACTGTTTCCATAGTGACAGGAGGTCAGCATTGACGAGGGCTGTGGAGGGGTCAAAGGGCAGGTCAGGGTCAGTATTCGATCATTTCTTCACTAAAGCTGATGTTATGAATTTGTGAAAAGGTACAAAGGAATGTGTTCCAAAACAATGGATGAGTGTGTGGGGAGTTATACCTTCAGGCGCCTCAGTTTCTACAAGTCACTCTTACTATGTTTTACTATCAAGTTCGAATCTCACCTAAAAATGTTGATTCTATAATTGATAGCCGTTGAGAATTATTTAACTTACTAAAACATGGAAAATGTTTTCTTAGGACATTCATTTATCGGGTTATTTTCCTAAATATTTCCATGTATATTTCCCCAGCCAGCTTTCAGGCGACTGAAAAAACGTTTTAGCATCATTGTTGCAATATTACTGTACGTGATTCAGAAAGTGTTATTTCTCTTGGATCATGACACTGAATATTCATTTATTTAGTAAGGGTTAAGATTTCACAACAGAACTGTTCACTTGTTTTCTCTTTGAAATGCTTTTAAAATCCTGTCTTGATTTGTATTGTGAAAGATAGGAGTGAAGGGATAGTTGTTAATATGAAATAGAATGGCTAGGGGTGAAGTGTGGCGCTGACCTCCACAGGGGGCGCTGAAGAGCTGGGCAGGAGAGGCATGCTTTGTCACAGAGGGAAAATCCAACAATACCTCCGACTGAGAGGAAGAGAGAAAACATTAGCTTGATGGTACAGTGTCAGGTAGGAGTAGTTTGCGTAGTACACAGTGAAGAGAGGGTTAAAGTCAATGATAGTGTCTCAAAGGTAATTCAAGAAATGAGGGAAGGAAAGAAAGCAAAACACAATCGATGAGGTCTGCCCCAAAGGGCTCAGAGAGCAGGAGTTTAATGAACCCTCACTCGGATGAATACACACTTTGATGGCAGCTCTCTCTTACAGAATTGCAAAAGCTGAAAATCCAATGGTGTCAGTGAACGGTTGGCCCTCCTCAGTGTATGTTTATGTCTCTGCATATACAGCTTTGGTATGGTGTGTTGAGAGGCAGGAAAAGGGCTGTTTTTAGTGTGCCAGTATGTATGTTAGATCTCAGGAAAACCCAAGTGAACTAAGCGGAAGAACAGTGTGGTGCAGATGGGAAATCTCAATAGACTGAAGTCAGTTGATCCACTTGTGTGTGTACCATGCTCAGTGTCTCGGCGTGCGGGTTTACGATCTGTTCCTTCATTGCTCGCTCAGATATCTGGACCTCAGGATCTGCAAAGACCAGCTGACGCCTGCGCCCCCCACCGGGCTTCCTGAGCAGAGGAACCTGGTGGCAGAGAAAGTCAAACACACCTTTATTGTTGACTTCTTGGTTCTAAAAAAAGACATCAAACTTCTGATCTCTAACTGTAAATGATGAGACTGTGTCGACACACCCACGCCTCCATTCCATCCAGTTATGTTCCAACTTTGTGGAATGTAAATGAAAGTTGATCTGCCACGACAGCAAATGATTTATCACTTCCATCACTGTATTTTAGGGGTGCAATGGGTGTAAGGCCCTTCACTTGGAATTTTCTATTTAGTCCCGGTATAAAAGACACAGTACATTTTAATCAGAGAAAATGTATGCCTCTGGAAATCACACGGTATCTCCAATATATTTCTAGTCGTCATGTATGCTCTTAATTGATTGGTCAACACACACGGTTTCACCATTTCAGTTAGAATTTGGAAAAATACAAATCTATTACTTAACAACTGACTAATTTGATAACACTATTTCTCACCCTTGTACAAGAACTTTCTGTCCCCTCTTTCCCAGCGGGTGGAGTTGGCATGGCAACCTGCGGAGGGGTCATCTCTCGGGAAATAGATGACAGAGGAGCGTCCGCAAGGTGTCCCGCCTCCTGGTCCAGCTGCCACACACTGCTCTGCTCCGCTCTCAGCAGCGTCTCCTTCAGCCTGGTACAATCACACACACACACACACACACACACACACACACACACACACACACACACACACACTGCAAATTAGGAGCTAAATATACTGACTGATGACACAATATTCAGTCGCTGCTGTTTATGTTTGAAGTCTTTCTTGAAACTACAGCATGTGACGTGTTGTTGTTGTTGTTGTTGTTGTTCGTTTGCCTCTGTGTTAACATGTTGTAGCATTCACACAAAGGCTGACTGATAGTATCACTATGAAGTTCACATTGCTCTGAAGGTCATCAGAGCTAAAGTAGAGTTTTCTTTTAAGTGACTAAGACTCACTGATCAAATGGAGACATGCCTCCCTCACGTGCAACAGTCTGGTCGCCTGTCTGCCTCTCCGTGTCTGTTTAGTGGCACAATGTCACAATTACATCACACACCGACACGTATAAGACGTTCAGGTGAACACATTTCACCCACATCTTACCCCAATAGCATTCAAATCAAGTGCTTTATTAAAGACACTTGTTTTCATTGTTGTATATGAACAAATCCCTTTCCACTCTCCGCTGTTTGAATGCAGGAAGTGAATCAGAAGCGTGCCATGCACACGCTGCATGACCTTGGGCTGTCTTTGCTAAGAACAGGGAGCAGTTTTTAAGAGATGTTACTTCTCTGAAATAAAACAACCTTCTGAAAATAAAGCTTATCTTTGGGGCAGCAAAAGCACTTACAGTGGGGCCACACAGAGTTTGACCTGGTAGGGTGGTGTGCACACATTACACACTGTGGGCCTGATACAAACACACAGTAGGGACATCAGACTGAATAACTCAAACACAAAGATAGAAATGCTTTTGATACACAAAGCACGCACCTCTACGGAACTGGTCTGGTTGATCCAACAACAAGTCCAACTCTCTGGCTGTGACTTCAGGAAGGTCGTCCCCCTCGTAATTCTGAGAGAGAGAAAAGTAAACAGATGGAGATAGGAATAAAACAGCAACACAATACAGAAACAGACATTGGTAACTCCCTGACAGGCAGACAAAGAGAAAAGTCCAAACTGTGAGTGCAGACTGATGAAGTTAAGTCATATCCTATCAAGCCACAATGAGCTTCATCAGCGGATGGTGCTTCAGGAGGAGCATTATCAGTCGCTAAGTGACACCATGAGGAGGGTAATGGTGTGTGAAGGATGTACCGTTGGACATTTATGACTGACATGATTTAGCTCTGCTTTATTTTAAGCACTGAGAGGTCATTCAGGAAAGTCGGTTAGGCATCAGGTATTTTACGTCCACAATCCACTACACCATTAACTCCACTGCATTATTCACATTCAGAAAATTGATGTCATTTTTAAACATCTAAAAATAGCCCCTCCCATAAATACTGTCTGTTCTTTTTTTAGCATTATTGTCACTGGATAATATTCTGTTCTGCTCCAATGCTTCTTTCTCATGACAGCAAAGACTAACATAGAGCAGCTAGCTTGTGACAAAGAGCTTAACTAGAGCTGCTGTGAGCACACGGTTCACATCCAATGATTCACCAGGACACCTGATGTTCTTCAATATGATGACTGGGATGTTTGCTGTCCCTGCACTGTGACAGAGAGTTTACCTCGGCAGTCGGGATGACAAACGGCTCCTTCTCCTTCAGGGAGATGGCAGCCGGAGGTGACCTGAACCCTGGGGGAGCACAGGAGGACGAGGAGCAGGGATGAGGAACATGTTTGCAGACCAACAGGAATGTGAGGTTGGCTGAGGATGATCAAGTGTTTGTGCCTGATGCATTCACATACAGGGTTCATACACTTCTTCACCAATGATTTACAATGACTTCTCCATGACCAAAAACGACTCTTTCTCAGCGGTACCACAGAAAATGGTCCATTTGAACATGGAACAGGAAAATAAGGTCTGCATATGAAACATGTTGTGCCTATCTAAAACAAATCAAATAGTAGGCTGACTAGCTTCTACAGGCTAAAGCAACTAACATCTCTCACCAGCTAAATGCCATTTTACGTTTCATTACTATACGCTACAGCATGTATTATCATTATAGTATTACTATTTCGGCGATTAGATAACATATCAATTACATTTGATGCAACATTAGTTACATTTCCATGACTTTTCCAAAACTTTGGGAAAAATATTGTTTTCCATAACTTTTCCAGGGCCTGGAATTAGCATTTTGAATTTCCATGACTTTTCCAGGTCTTTAATGACCGTAAGAACCCTGGTAATATGTGTGGATACATGAAGATGAATTCACTGATTAGAGAACATGTATTCACTATGTTCAGGAGTGGAAAAAGCGATAAGTGGGCCAACATCCTCTTTTGGAATCTCAGCTAATGAACTGACCCAATTATAAATCCTCTGAAGATTATTTGATTATCTTGACTGGAAACATATAAAATGTTACCGAAGCGACTATCACAAATCATGAGAATTCTAATTCCTAAATAATGTGGGTATTTACACAAAGTGTCACAAAGCAGGGTGGAAGCATGCAGAGAAATCCTCTCATTGCCGTTATAAACATCGTTATAAAGTCGGTTATGTTCAGGTGAGGCTGCTTCCAAAGGATTTATGATATGTTTGTTTATAACATTTCGTCTCACCCTGATGGTCCAGTGTGGCGTTGGGACCGGTCAGCAGGGAGTGCTGTGAAGCTGCCTCTCCATTCACACACATTTGCTAGAAATATATAACAAATGTATCATAACAAGGCAGAATACTAACACAAAGGTATTTATCATAAGTGTGGACTGAGTCTGAAGAACACAGTAACAAACACAATGTGTAAGGAAACATGATACAGAGGTTATAGTAGGGCTGTCCCGAATACTATTTTTCGGGCTCCGGATATTCGGTTGTAATCAGCAGCGAATATTCGGCCCGCGGGGGGGGGGGGGGGTAGTAATCAGCAGCGAACCGCTTCAACACGTGTATTTCGGTTTATTCACGGCATTCATTTTGTTATCCAGTATTGTTGTTTTATAGTTATTTGTTAATGTTACCCAATTTGTGTTCTTTGAAATTGAAAAAGATATTTCATTGTGTTTGTCACTTTTGTTGCAGTTGTATAATGTCTTAAGTGTAATTTGGCTTGGCGTCTTATTTTGTATGGACATGCTTTTATTTTGAAGGAGAGTTAGCGCTGTTAATAATAATAATTCATTTATTTTATATAGGCGCCTTTCAAGGCTCTCAAGGTCGCCGTACAAACACATAAGAAACAAGATCCACAATACCTAACACCAGCATAAGAGACATAAACAAGACAATGCAGTTTATAAATCAATCAAATAACCAAATAAATTCCTGTTGACAGGAAGTTGTTGTTGCTATGGAAACAACGTGACGGAGATTAAGGGAGAAAAGTAATATCTACATATAAAGACGGAGAAAGTAAACGATACAGTTTATGGTTAAGTGTTAGCACCCCCCGAAGAGGCACAAGCTCTTACGTTGATGTTGGAGATTTCAATCAATTCAATAAAAAACGGAAAAAAACAACAAAAAACGAACATCCGAATAACGACATTGAAACCCGAATAGTACTCCAACGAACGAATATTCGGGTACAGCCCTAGTTATTAGTATTGTTTTCTTCCTCCTGTCTGATACCTGATGCACTTCCATATTTTTTAAAAGTTGAAATTCAAAAGCCAAACATACAGCTGTTTCTATTGTGCATTGTTAAAGGCACAGTCCAGTTAAGGGATCCTTTACAATTTATGAGAGAGTCCAATCAATTATTTTCACATCATGTCATCCACCATGTTATGTTCTGGTACACTTTGACTCTTCTGTGATTTAAGTCCCTCACGGTATTCCTACGATGAACGATTACAGGGAGGACAAAGTCCAGCCGTGTGTGCCAGATTGACAGACGAGCAGTAATAGGTTTACAAAGTGATTCACTGTTCCCCTTACGATAATACCGATGGACAGTATGGAGGGAAATTGCACATATGTTGCTAGAATGGGAATGACCTCCATAAAACAACGCCTCAGTTAAAGTAGTTCATGGTTTATCAATGATTGATAATAAACACTGGGAGATTGTCAGTTTGTAATGTCTGAGGTGGGGTCGAAAAACAAATAATGTTTGACACCACCAACAGGTAACATCACAAGAGCATATCTTTAAGCCTATATGGCCGTGTAGAGGCTAAATACAGTATGTTTACTTTAGATAGGTGTGGCATTGACGGTGTGTGTGTGTGTGTGAGCCAAAGCCTCAATTTGACTTACGGGCAAAGAGGGCTTGCCTTACCGTCATTAAGATGCGGGAATATTTCAGTTTGTCTTAGACATTATTGTTATACATGAGTACAGGATACATGAGCGTCTTTGGGTTCAAGAAAAGCGCTATAGAAATCAAATATATTATTATTATGAGACAGACATCAGATTATTGTGGGATATGCACTTCAGGGTGTAGATATTCTTGTTGTACCTGGTGTGTTTTATAGGGGCTGGGCAGTTGGTGTGATGCCATGAGGCCGAAGAAAGGGTCCTGAGCTCCCTCCGCATCCTCCATAATATACAGGTTTTCAGGCACATCCAAGGCCAACCTGCCAGAAAAGAGTGAATATGACTTATCAAACTATTGAAAATCACACATGTTTTGGGCTGTGCAGGCTAATGTAATGCTATGCATACTTTTATCAGTCTGTTGGTTTCATGACATGATAAAATAATACTAGAGTAAGGTTCATGCACAGCATCTATAGAGTGCAGAATGTAGGAAGATATATTACATCTGCAGGAGAGCTCATGCATTACCGCCGCTAAATGACACAGCTTATTAAACATTTACGAGCCATTCTTCACATGAAAGAAGCTCAATTTGTCCATCACTCACGCGATAAAACTCTACCATCTCTTCACAGGCTTTATTCCCCAAAACAATCCCCCTTCATAAATATTCCACTACATGCTTATGAGCTCAGATTTCTCTAACACATATAAAACCTCTGCACAGCTTCACATGTTAGATGCCCTAGGATACAAAACAGTCTTCCACTGCGCATGTGTGTGTGTGTGTGTGTGCAGACCTGTCAGACTCAGCCATGTCAATGTAAGTGCATCTTTTAGAGCGCAGCAGGCGGTCTATGGTCTGTTGAATCTCCCCTGGAAAACAGGAAGACAAATATGAAAAGTTTCAAACACACCTTTTAAGAAGTGCAGGTACTTCCTGCAGAAACAGAAGCAGAGGTCATATTGAGGTCAGGGTCTTACATATCTGACCTGGCAAATCTAATGAAGGTCATGTGACCATTCTTTCGCCTCCACAAACAAGAGGAGTGGGCAATGCATCCTAGAAATACATTGTTATAATTATCTAAGGTAATTTATAAAAGATTATTATGTATAAACTCAGGGTTTATTGAAATCCACCTACTAGTCTGGACTAATACAATAGTGGTATCATTTTCAAAGATCATATTAGGAAACTGGGAAGCCATGCTTTTGAAATACAACATAAACACATCATGCTCTCTACATTATATGTGACAGTTTTGCAGGTTCCTATTTTATTCTACTGATTGTAGAAATGAAATACCGTCGCTGAAACAGAAGGTGGATGCTTTCTTGGCATCTCCTGCGCTTATCATTATGCATTGTATTTCACTGTTATCATCCTCCGTGACAACAGCATGATTGTGAATCTGTCGGGCGCAATATCGATGTCGGGGTGTAATTTAAGACCAGATGAATAGGAACTGTTCAGCTGTGTTTGATGATATTGCATTCATTAGTGCTATATTGGCTTCTTAATGAGACTTGCAAGGGAGGATCTGAGAAAATTCATTGTGTAGATGTTTTGGTTTTATACCAACACAGCTGAGATTCTGCATTTAGAACTGACAGAGACAACTGGTGTACTGTGTTTTCATATTTTGGCTGAGCTTATCTTGGAAAGCCGCCTGAAAAAAAACCTGTTCGTGTTAAAATAAAGATTATTGCTGCTTGACTGCATTTTTTAACATCTAAATGCTGGCACAGTAACGGCCCGTCCACACACAGGCATGAAACAAATCTTGAAAAATCTTGATGCTGGGCGTGTCTGAAGCTTGGCGATTTTTTGCGAGCAACGCGACCAACAACCAATCACATGAATCTCCCGCCCCCGACATACAAAGCAATAGCAATGTTAAAACGAAGTAAACTGGATATAAAATCCCCAAACAGGTGAAAACCTACCAGTTTCACCCACTGTCTCTGCCACCTCCCTCCATGCCTGGTTCTTCCGGTTTGTATCCCGGTAAATAGTTCTGGTCGTAAAGAACCGGGTGATTTGCTACCGGAAATGAACTGCGGTCTGGCTCTCCCAGCTTGCACGCGGTTTGATTGGCTAGAGCTTGTACTGGCGGGATTTGCATAAACGGGATTTGATTGGCTGATGCCAGCTTCGAAAGCATCGGGAGCATCAAAAGTTGAACATTGCTCAACTTTTGATGCTCACGATGCTTGCAAAGCCATGCTCCACTCCCCACAATGCAGTTCGGCGAAGATTCAAAATCTTCTACGTCACCCCATTCAAGTGAATGGGCGAAGCTTTGAAAGATTTTTTTCATGCCTGTGTGTGGACGGGCCGTAACTGAACAAACCATATTTTTTTGCTATGTCTTATCTTGCAAAAGTAAGTCAAACATTTTTTCTTTTCACTTTTACTATGCCTTAAGTCAGTGCTTCTTAAAGTGTGGTCCGTGGACCACTGGTGGTCCGTGAGCGCCCCCTAGTGGTCCGTGAGTATATTGGTAAAATTTCACATTTGAAATAAATAAATACATTTAAGTTTTCCGCACTCTCGCGGGAATATCTCCGCAATGGAGCGAGCTTCAGTTTCACTTTCGATTGCATGATATAGCCCAGATAAACACCTTCATCACACATGTTGCCACTTGTTAGTACCATTTTCAGGCGATTTGTAAAAAACGATGTGTTTTTGGATATTTGTGGAGTTAGGTGGTCTGCGAGTGTTTTTTTATTGGTTAAGTGGTCCTTGGTATGAAAAAGTTTGAGAAACACTGCCTTAAGTGAACGTTAGTGTGCAGTGTTTCACACAGAATTTGATTCTATTTGTGGGGGCACTGCACCGCACCCCCCGGCAAGGAAATCCAAAGGCCCCTTAACCTATTCGGGTGGTCCACGCATCCAACCCCCCCCTCAAATAAGATAATATATGCGAGTTCATGGCTACTGCAGACAACGTTCTTGTTGCTCTGTGTTGCGTTGTTAATGAGTGAGACACACCGGAGTTGAGGATCTGTGGGGTTTTTTTCTCCCAAAAATATAATTTACAATTTAGGCATTTAGCAGACGCCTTATTCCAAAGCGACTTACAATGACCGATTACAGGGACATTCTCCCTGGAGTAACCGAGGGCTAAGTGCCTTACTCAAGGGCAAGTGGTGTTCCAGGCAGGATTTGAACTCGCATCCTTCCGATAATCAGGCCCACCTCACTATCCAGACCACCAAAAAAAAAAATAAAAAATAATATTAATATATATTTTTTTTTAATGAAATCCATTTGTGGCGGACGATATTTAATTGTGGCGGCCCGCCACAAATAAATCAATGTATGGGAAACACTGGTGTGTGTAGATAATGTAGCTTGGACAATGATTATTTTACTCTTTTTTTAAACGCTTGTTCCAACCAAGCGGCAAACTCTGGGGAAGAGCCGGGACGCCAATACGGAAGTGCCACACACTGCAGTTCATCTAGTGGCCAGTAGGAGCAGGCTGCAGAAGGGAGCAATTTCCATAGACCCCCATGTTAAAATGCCCAACTTTACAGCAGAAATAAACATGTTTACATCGTGGTTCAAAAAAACATATTCTCTGTATAGTTAGATTCCCCCTTCATGACTACTGTGTGCGGGGTGAATTTTTTCTCAACTCATCTGTTTAATTAATATTAAGCCTTAAAGCTTTTGCATAAATTAGGGCGTGGTCACTTTGATGGACATGTACATGCCTCACTGTCAGCTAACAGCAACTTGTCAGGGTTTCCCACACATAGACTATACTTGGGCGGGCCGCCCAGGTATATTAACGGCCGCCCAAGTCTATTTCGCGACCCATTTAGGTTTATTTTTTTATTCGTCCGTGACCACGACGCCATCTGCGATCGATTAACTTGTGGACAATGATCCCTTGCTCTGATCTCGCCTCCTTCTGGCCTGTTAAGTGGCCTGCCTCACACAGGGTGACTGACTGTCCACATGATGTGGCCTGCCGACATGGCCACTGTCATACAGATCATAAATCAAAGCCCTTGATTGGTCTCTGTGTGTCATTCAAGCTCGGGATAACCTTAGCTCAGGTGAGGTAAAGGACTCTCTGAGTGTTTAGATAGTTAACTTAGTCTAAGTTCTCAGTGGGTCTCAAACGGTGTGGTGCACCAGATTGATGCATTTAACTCCAAAATAAAAAGTTAAATTTTACGGGGGGGGGGGGGGGGCACATGCCCTTGGACCCCCCTAGAGGATTTGAGGTCGACCCCCACTAAAAATCACATGGATAGGTTCCTAAATACATTTATAAATACATTTATTTTTTTAAATAGTAACCCATTTCCATATGTTCATGTGTAGATTTAAACTATAGGGCTATCATTATGGGCCCTGCCTGTACCTGTACCTGTCCGCTCTGCCATCGCGTGAAGGGTCTGCTAACAAGCGACCAACAGAGAGGTTAATGTTGTTGCACGTCACCTCAACCCCCCCCCCCCCCCCCCCCCAATGAGCTGTTCTTCATGAAATCCCAGAAGGATGAAGTGCTCTGACAAACAGTGCCATCTTTGCGCAAAATGATTATACAGGAATGAAAAGTCAATAAATAAACATGTTGTTGCTGCCACCACCCGCCCAAGTATATTTATTTCAGATCTGTGGGAAACACTCTGCTAGGCTACAACCATAGAGGCTACAACGTTAGTTAGTTGTAGTTACTGTACTTGACCCTTTAGCCGTGTTCGTGGTGATTGTGCCTTTTAGGGAATATTGTTAAAAATACCAGACAATTAAAATGTCGTGCTGTGCGCTTGAATGTACTAACAGAAATTCCAAGAAGTCTAAAATTATACATGTTAACCCCGTTCGCAGGTGTTTGTGTGCTTGGTAGCTTAGCTTGCTACTTATTAGCCAGCTAAGGACGTAACCCTTTATACATACATATACATTTTAGTTTATGATTCAGCCTTGGGTAAGACTTTTATAGTCTATGGCTATGACGCCCATAATGCTAAACGGGAGCAAATGTCAATAGGGGACCCAATTATCCCAGTGGTGGCCGCCGGAGCTAACGGAGCCGCAGGGGGCTAGCTCCAGCCGGCGTCCCGGAGCTAGCCCACTGTGGCTCCGTTAGGTCCGGGCGGTGGAGTCCGTCTTTTCTCAACGTGTGAATGACAAGCATTAAGAATAACAAAATATAGCTAATTCTCTTGCAGATTGTCTCATTTAATTATGAATGTAATGTTTGTATAGGGGAACTACACTGTTAGCAGTAACTTGGTATGCATGTATTTCATGTTAGCTTAGCTTCTTAGCCTGAGCTAGCTCTGTTTACTTCCAGTTCGGAGGCAGCAGGTCCCGTCTCGGCTCCGCCTCTTTGCCCTTATTTGGAGCAGGCGGGATTAGACTCTGACGTCACAGTCGAGCCGTTAGTGGCCGACTCCGCCTACTAAGGGCTTCTCTGCAACTCTGCAGAATCCTATGGGTGACGTCACGGACACTACGTCCATTTATATATACAGTCTATGGTTCCAACTGGTCTTCTTCTCCTCTTACCCAGCAAGTAGCCACACTGCCGGTGGTAGACGACGACCACCCCGTACTGCAGCTGAGAGGACAGGTAGAGGGAGAAGCGAGGCCTCGGGAGGGTCGGCTGCAGTGGAGGAACCTGAGCTGTCACATAGTCCAGAATGTCCCCACTGTATTGTTGAGACATTTAACAAAATCAATGATGCAATTTAACATTGTATGTCAAGTCAAACTGGATGTAGGGCCACACCTAATGATTATTTTCATTTTCGTTTAATTTAGATTTTGTCCATCCCAGTTTCTGAAGATCCAAGGTGATGCCTCTAAATGTCTTGTATGGTAATTCCAAAACTAAAAGATATTCAGTTTAACATGATATAAAACAAAAAAGCAGAACATCTCCATAATTGAGGCTGAAAACAGCATTACTTTCTAACACATTATCATATAGATGGCGATTATTTCTATCCCTAACCCTCTATCAATTGTTCGATTTATATTGTATGAATTTAGGTTCAAACTCTGGTAGGATTAGCTTTACAGCTAACTATGCTAACCTAGCAGATTGCTGGATAGCAAGCTGCTAAAGATGCATTGTAGCACAATGATACACTTTAACCTGATTTAATGCTGTTTTACAAATTAATATGACGTTGAGATTGGCAAAAGTGAGATATGGGTAGCTGGTGGTAACAACAATGACTATACTTCTATCATTCACAAATCAAACACATATTTGATATTACTTAATTGCTTGCGAGCATTCTTACCATGTTCTCCCAACATTGACTTTGAGAAGCTCTCTGCGGGTGATCTTGATGCCTCTGGTTGCTGCTAACCTGAATAAGACAAACACATTTAGTTAGAAGACAATATAAAAAATAACATATTGTTGACAGTCTATTCTGTCATGTAATTGAGTTAGCTTAAGACTCCTTAGTTTCGTAATATAGTATATTTCATACTAAAAGCTAATGAGCTAGCTTCTTAAACACTCACCAAACTGTGGAAAAACATCCAGTGTGGCGCTTGAGGACATCTGGGTAGAAAAACATTTTTTTTTTAGATCAGGCTGAGTATTTGAAGGAAAGAGTTAAAAGGGTGTAGGAATTTATTAAGCTACTGTAAAATATAACAAAGAATTCTAACTTTCACCGCGATTTTGTTCCCGCTTCAGATCGCACTGGACCAATCAGGTTGAAGATCCATCACATTCGAAAAGAAACACTCCCGATCTATGCTCCCGATGCGTTCAATGACCTCATGAAAGTCGTACACTTGACTGTTAGGTGTCTGTTTTCTCTCTGATCGGTATGAAAAGAGTCACCTGGTTCAATGCTGCTGTCTCATATTCCAGAAATTAGCTTTTCCTTGTAAACTGATGCGTGCACAGTTTTTTTTTAATTTAAATATCTTGTTTTTATTAATATATTCCTTATCGTGTTTGGATGTATTTTATTTTTGCTTTAATCTTTATTACTAGGATATTATTTTATTCAGTTTTTTATTAATTTTTACAACACAATTTTCTCATATGTCTGTAAATGTCTCATTCACACAGTGACATTGACACATAGCATTGGCATTTAACTTGGCTGATGTTCCATGCATGTGCCAAGTATTTTAAAATACATTTATTGAATTGATTTGGGCAAGTAGAAATATAAGTTATGTGTAATTTTAGTTTTTGTAACTATTACAGTTTCTATTTTTACCCAGTTAAATGCAGAGGAAAGCGTGACGTCACCCTCCTTATGGGTAGTGGTGAGTGATTGGCCACTCCTCTGGCAGTGAACGTCGGGTGGTGGAGCCTGATTGAAGCGGCTCACAGAAGAAACTACAGCAGAAGGAAACACACTGTTGGCGTTAGTTGCTCAATTTTAGCAGAGCAATCCCTTTGAAATGGCGTACAACAGTCCGTACCGAGCTGCGCCGCAAGTCAACGCGCCTCCGGACCAGACTTTTCTGTGGAATATCTTCCAGAGGTGAGTGGGGGAAAGCGGGTTTGTCCGACCGCCTCTCACTCAGCCCCGCAGTGAGAACCGCTGTCGTGTGGCGCGGAGAGGAAGACAGGAGCGCTAGAGGGACATCTTTAATTCAAAGCTCGTTGTTTTTTACTCCAATGTCCTTATAACTATTTTTGCACCGCATTCAAATTAGTGTTTTGTGAGGTCTAAAGCTACCCTTCAGTTCCTGGTCATAACATGCACAGTGTAGCTACAACACATAGCTCATATAGCTATCACCCCGCTTGTGTGTCAGTGTCACAGAGCTTTATAATCGACTTTTAAGGAAGTGCCAGGCAATCAGTGAGTCTCCTACAGCAAGGCGAGTTGGCAAACTGGGGTCCAAAGACCTCCAGGAGTCCTTGAAATCCTTTCTTCTGGGTTCTTCCAGCTAAATTAAATTTGAGTATATCCATTTATACATACAGATGTGAGAGAATATTTCATGAATGGGTCTTTGAACTGCATGTGTCTGCACCATATCTGCAGCAGTCAAATCAAATCCTCTCAAGATGGGGTTTCCTCAAATATTCTGACAGTTGTGTGTCTTTATGACGCCACTTTGTATGGGAGGCTGCCATAAAGAGAGTGGAAAGCTCTCTCACACAATACATAACCATACTATATATTGTTTTTTCTTGAGCTGATGTAACAGTATCAGTGGCACTGAAATGCATCAATTTCACTACAGCCTGTGTCAAAAGTGTGTCAGCAGCTGAGAAGGTCGCAGTAGTAGGCAGAGAGGGAATTACTTGATATGCTATGACCCCTGGTAATAGTAAGCTATAGAGTTATGTAATACTGCAGTTTTCTGCTGCTTTGCTTCTCACAACATTGAGATTGCATGCATTGCAAGGTTTGTAGCAGCCTTAACAAATTATTAATGTATGGCTCAAAACCTCTGAGAAATCAGGTTGCATACACATTTTGTCTCATATCTTTTAACATCTCTCTTACATTCCTACTCTTGAATTCACAGGCACGCAAACAGGACCTAACATGACATCGCTTTACGCCATATATGTATAAGATAATGTGAACAAACACAAGTCACCTCTCACATGACAGGCATTGTGCAGCCTGATCTGCTGCCTCCTGGAAAATATCCATCAGAGCGGTGCTGGAGTTCCCTCAGTCATGTGAACAGAGTCAATAGAGCATAGTTGAAGTGGGAGGACTCTCATCTGTGTCACACACACACAGAAACACACACATTCAGCAATGTATGACTCACCGTCCAACTGTTGCACCGTCTTCTGGTATCCATTTAGTTGAAGCCTTACTTTTGAACTCCCTTATTCTTTCTAATCATAATGACAGTGGGACAAACATGAGTCATTCAATCTCTGTGGGTTTCAATGTAGACTAGTCGTGCTGTATTTGTCATCTAAATGTTGTCTATTTTTAAATGTATTAAAGTCCATGACTTGCCACTTTATGAATCATGAGGTAGTCATTTTGTACTTGCTTTTGAATGAGTGACGTTGGTATGTCTATACCCAACGCTTCAAGAGTCAAAAACAACTTCAGTTGGATTTAGATCACAACACAGATTTGTTTGCTGTCTTTATATATACAGTCTATGGTTGCTATGCAGGTAAAACACATTGTCTAATACTGCTTGATGAATACTGATCATTTTTTAAATGACAGCATATTAAACTTGTTAGTAACAGATTACAACATGTAGGAAGAACATGTGGCTTGTCTAGAATGAATTGAAAGTACAGTAAAGTTGATGTGATCACTGTCTCACCTGAAAACAGACTCATTATTTAATCCACAACTTCAACCATGGATCAAAAACGTTATTACAAAAAGTAGGAATGGAAACTGACTGGTGTTCAGCAGGATTTCCCTGGAAGGGTTTGCAAATGCGGCTTTAATTTTCTCCGCTGTGTGAGCCAGAAGGACATCGTTTAAAATGTGGAAAGTAGGGCAAGCTTTGTTCGCGAGCCTTATTCCAACGTGGTTGCCCAATGGGAAACAGTGAAACATGGCAAAATCTGAGCCATGGTGTTTGATGTCCTCCTGCTGTTTCACCTACAAGTTCTGTGTCTGACAGCGTGAAGATGGACACACCAGATGTCTGTGCTTCCCGGCACGAGGGAGATTTAATGATGTTTCACTTTTTAGGGTCTCTTACGTTAAGTCTGGCGAGGTTACTTCACCTCAGGCTGGATGAGATGGGAGGGAGAGAAGGGGAGAGTTTATTCTACATAGTACACATACTTCTTTGAGTTAATCAATCAGTGTTTGGTGAAGGCAGGGTACCCCCACTGCCTTCACCAACCCAACCACTCCTCACCTTCAGCGTGACAAAGCTCTCATTTATGGAGGCATGTTTGGAGCTGTTTTTCTCCCTGATGAGAGCAGTCAGGTCACTTGTGTTTGTTTTTCTTTATTTAAGTATGGAAAGTAAAGCGAGGAGTACACATAGGCTTATAGCTGATCACTGTAGAGACATGGAGATATATAACCGCATGTAAAGAATCACAGCTGGCAGCGGAAACCCAGCCCACAAAGTCAGCACTGGGCCGGGTCTGAGGTCTTATTTTGTAGGCCGGGGTTCCCCATCCCCCTCTGCCTTCTTCTTCTCTGCTGGTATTTGGTGTGTGTGTGTGTGTGTGTGTGTGTGTGTGTCAGGTTGGGCCAGGCTGGGCCAGGCAGCTTGCTGAGGACCAACTGAGTCACTGGAAGTTTGACTGAGCTACGTTTCATAACTTCAAGGCTTGTTACAGCCTGCTGCGACACAAGATTTCCATCAGCATAACTACACTCTAGCTATGTTCGTCTGACTAAATAAAGAACCTTAACCTTGTTATTTATGACACAGTCACAGTTGTTACTCTGTTCTATGAGTTTTGTAAGTGTATCTTAATAGCTAACTTTCGTGTACTAAAAGACATAGTTTAACACTTAAAGACACACATATTTCAAAAGTAATGTAGCTGTTGTTCATTTTTGAAACTAGATGCTCTTACAGTTTTCTTATATCTTCGTCATACATGTTTTAACTGAAGGGTTTCCCTCATGCTGGCTCATTCCTGGATGTTCAGAACACTTTTTAAAGCTCTATTCTGACTGATCAAACGCAAGCAGATAAACTAAACTCCTGGAGGTTATTGAAATGTATACACGACATTGCATCATCTCACTAATCTACATGTTTATTTGCTTTCATTCAACTCATGGATAAGAGGTGTTTAATGATCCTTTTCAGACAATGGAGACTACAAATAGAAGCCTCTCAGATTTTTCCATACCTTCACAGCCTACTCATATGTTCCTCTGACCTTCCTTTAGACACTTAAGTGTGGCTTTGCCGTCATCTGTTGGATTTTCTTCAGCCCCTCCCTGGAATATATTTAGTTGTACACTTAAGCCCCTTTTCAGTTCTTCCTTGAAATACTGACACAGAATTGAAAATGATCTCTGTGATAATAAACGAGTCATTGAATTCATTTATCTTGCAGAAATGCCAAACATGTTCTGAGGAGGCGTGTGGCGCAGTGGCTAGAGCGTTGGTGTTCGGATCAAGGGAGCACAGGTTCAAACCCCACTGCAGTCAGCATGTCGTTGTGTCCCTGAGACACTTCACCCCAAATTGCTCCTGTGGGGATTGTCCACAGTATTGAGTATGTAAGTCGCTTTGGATAAAAGCGTCTAACAAGTGACATGTAATGTTCTGGTTCTAGCCTCTATAATGTATTTGAGTGTTATCGGTAACTTTAAACTGAATGACTTTGATTTTAAGTCTGACTTCCCCTTTTCTAATGAATCTTTTTATACATTATTTGAAAAGAAACATACATTAAGGAATACTCAACAATGAAGATAATCTTTAGGTATATTGTAGCCCTATTAAATAAACTGCCACTTATTGGTTTTCATTACTGGTTGGTCTATAAAATGTCACACTGAAATGATTCGTATAATAAATTATAATTTCCCAAAGCCCAAATGAAAGGGTTTAAATGTCAACAAAGACCCATGCCCAGAATCGAACTGGGGACATTGTCGGCTAAGTGTTTAAGACTATGTTAACT